CATGTGGGAGGAAGACAAGATGCCATCATCCCTAAACTCTGCCAGCATTTCACTTGATTACAGTCCATCGTTTAAGCAGTCTCAGGGTGAGATTGTTCTTAAAGTGGGGTGCAAATAGACTGATCTATCAGCAATTCCAGGCCGCTGAGTGATGTTCTGGTTCATCCAGGAGAAGCTAAGAGTGTCTTCTGTCTTCTAAGCTAGAATCTAGAATCGCACAGGAAGAATCTTCTTCCTGCTGGGCTGAGCGCCACATGGATGTTTGTACCACATGTGGGAAGATGAGCAGCAACCCTGGGAATGGTAAACAAGGAAGGGCTTAACGTGTTCCTGGGAGGCCCTGTACAATGACACACGGCCGCAGCAGCCAGCCCAGCAGAGCAAACAGTACTGAGGAGCGTCCCCGTGCACTGGCCCTGACCGTCTGCGCAGGCAGCAGGGTCCCTGGCACACTTTTGCCCTGTGCCAACTAATGTAACGAGGGCCTGGACTGTTCCCCAGAGTCATTTGGCAGTTCACACACCCCAGGGACACACAACACATCTCTGGGGGCGCCAGGAGAGGCCACCAGTGCCATGTGGGCCACTCCGAGCCACCAGGCGCAGGGCCTGGCGTGTTCACGCAATGCACCAGGTTAGGCGTAGGCCTAACCATAGTGCAGGATATGCAGCCAGAGTCCCAAGATAACCGCACAACTCCTGCTGGTCCCGCTTTTTCCCTGCTTGGGGGGATTCAGAGTGCTCAGAGCTGATCTTGGTATGAAAACAGCATTACAACAGGCTGTTTGTGCTTTGTACAGTGACACTGTCACTGGGTAATATCCCAGGCTGCTGTCTCCAATGCCCCTTTATCAAAATACCTGCATAGCACAGTTGTATATAAAGAGAAACAGGAGTGAAGCTCTGAACTGCAGAGACTTCTTAGTCATGTAAAGCTAAATAGCGGAACAGGAAAAAAAAGTGCTCCAAAACTGTGTCTTTTTTTTTTGTTGTTTCTTCTAGAAACCATGTCCTTATTTTTCATTTCTTTTGGACTCACTACTACTGCTCAGGGCTCTTTGTATCAGTCCTATACAGGCCCATACAAGGGCAGAGCTGAAAGGGGGATGTGGGAACTGCTGTGTTGCAATTATGCTTTTACAATAGTCCAGGCTTTTTCCCCTGTGGAGTGAAGGGGATATCCTGCTTAAAGGACCATGCTTGAAAACCAAACTCACAATAGCCAGCTATATTTTCGTTGCATCCGCTTTTCAGAGCCAGTTTTGATGTCACTGTTGCTATTCCTTAAACTGGACCGTAACCCAATTCGTATAAACACACTGACAAGAACTGCTCTGTGGAGGGACCACCACAGATTAGGAAAGATGGTGGGGCTGAACCTGATGAGCCAGTGCTGTCTCCTATACCAGTTCTAGACAGGTACCACTCACACTATTTGTCATTTTGTCTGTTGCTCCTCACATGACAGAAACAAGTCAGTAGGGGAGGCAGATCGGAAGGTCTCTGTTGTGCTTGAAATCCCTCCTCCTGTGCTCTTGCTTGTTTGCTACCCTAGCCTGTTACAGATATGCTCTTTTCCTTTGGTTTTGCTGTCCTATTTAAAATTTAAATGTGAAAAGAAACGTTGTGTCCTTGACTTTTTTTATATGACTTTGTGGCTTATTTCCACTCCATTCCCTTTGTATTTTGTCTTCAGGGTCCCTTCTTGCACCAAGAGGCAATTTATGGAATAGATGTTTAGTTCAAAGATGTCAAGAAATCATCTATTCTGACTGCCTCATGCACCCAACAGGCCACAGCCACCTCCCAGAGCCATAGCAAATGTGAAAATCAAAACCAAAATGAGCTGCAACAACCAGTCACAGGAAAAAAAGCAAGAAAGACAAAGACCATCACACTTTACTCAGTCCCTGCAATGTTTCAAGTGATTCAGTAGATTAAAGCACAGATGATGCTAACATAGATACTCCACCGAGTGTTTTAGGGAAATGCTCTAACAATCTCTGTCTGATTGAAAAGGAATTTTCCCCCTGATCCCACATCTAGCATTTGATTTAATCTTGAATACATGAGCAAGATACAGCCACAAGACATTAAGGAATTTCATGATCAGTAGGTACATTCAGGCTGCAGTTGGGCTTGTTCTTGATAGGCAGACTGAGAAAAAGGAAAAATACATATTTTCTTAGAAACCAGATTACTCATGCATCAAGGAGGAAAGCATTTTTGTTGGGCCCTACAGAAAAACATGGCTTAAAACTATCAGTTCCTACTGAGTTGATCAAAATAAATATGAATCAAATATTTTTTGGACATCTACGCTCACCTGCTTCGGAGTACCAATAAATTAATCATCTTCAAAATTCTATATGAACAATGTCTTTGAATAGTTTATAAAGCATGTGGTCATAACATTCACAGTAATTCACAGAAAGCAAGAGTGGGATACAGTCCACATGGCTCAAGCATTTACTTTGAAAGGTTTGGACATTTTAAGTGAGCTCGTGATGAATTTCATACGCGCTGCCTTACTTGTATGCTGCCTATCAGAAAAGATCAAGCATTTCTTGTCTAAATCGGCTCTTGCTGGAATATAATAGCAGCTTTCAGACTCCCCACATGTTATCTGTATATTTTAAATTATAAATAGGGTCATGTTTGTGAGTTAATGGGTTTAGTTCTTAAAGTGCCAAAACTTTGATCAACATGTGTAAAATAATTGGCTGAAAATGATGATTTTGATCAATGTTTTTTACCTCAGTGTACATTACCGACAATATGATAGGAAACATAACCACTACTGAAATTTTTAATCTGCAAGTAAGAAAATGGCACTTGGGAATTTTAAAAAGATTAGATAACAAAAGAACACTTGAGGCAGTACTTTTTAAGAGCTCTTGTAGGGTATGTAATCCAGTTACAGGGCTTACAGCACCAATCTTTGTAGTTTCTCGTTTTCTTACAAAGTTTATTTAAACAATAATCTGGCTACCTAGAATCTCATTTGTATTACTGCAGTTCTCTTTTTCCTTCTACATTGTCTATTTTATTTATATAACCAGTGATGGAAACTTAAGCTATAAACAAAATCAGTTCTTTAATTTGCTACTGACTGTGGGGAAAGTAAAAGTCCTGATTGCACTGAAGCCAGCAGAAGCATTGCCTTTTTAGCCATTTAGGTTACACAAAGACAACTGACTGTTGGCTTAACTATGCAATGGAGAATTATGTGAGTAACTAATCTGGAGTCAACAGAGAAGTCAAAGCTGCAAGCTCAGGCTTCATGTGGAACAAGATGTGAACTGTAATACAGTAACGCGTTGAGGCTGAATAAAGCCCCCATTCTTTAATCAGTGCAACTGTCAAACTAAGGCAACTGTAACTTCTTAGTTTACATACCAGCATCACACAGGGAAGAAATTTACTTCTAAGGAAACACAAAGAAACCTCATCTACTCATTTAAATTATACCTTATTTGAAAACACAGCCGTAGCATGATGGTTGTTGCCTGGGGAATAGAGGAGGTACAGCGTGAGTATTTCTAAACATTTCCAGCCTCATCCATTTGTTGACAGACCCTTGAGTTATTTTGGAAGGTCTGTCTCTGCTGCCTGCCTTGTCACTTATTATATTGAAAATGTAATTGTACAAGGGCTTTGACACTGAACTTTATAAATTTGTTCCAACTGACCTTGTCTCAGTTATTTGCCAGTCTGGCACGGAGCCTTAGTAATCATTATTTGTTCTCATGCAGTAGGTAGAAGCAACATGAAGCAGGAGATTGAATGGACTTGACATTTTACATGACTGTAAATGAAAAACCAGCTTTAAATAAAGAGATTATTATGCCCGCCCCAAGTGTATTACATTTCTCTCAAACAGACTGAATTTAGGTTGTACAGAATTACTTTGTACCCTGGGTGTGTCATTCTTTTTCTGTAGTGTTTTCAAGCTTTTATTTAAATTTGTTTTTATTTGACCGTTCACTTAATTACTTCTTTCTACAGACATCTTTAACAGAAGTGCTAGAGAATGGCTTTTATGTTAGAAAATACAAGTCACTACAAAGCATTAGAAGCAAGAAAAAGCTTATCAGAGTTCACATCACCATCTTGATGTTTCATGAAGTTTCAGAAATCTGAAGCACACTTTTAAATGGTTCCCTGAAAACATCACAATGGAAAAAAAAATAAAATCAATGAAAATATGACATATTTTAATGCCTATTTAAAATTCCATCTGCAGAAAAGGATCAGTAGATTTACTCTTCCCTTACAGAAGTGTAAGAGCAAGACATCACCTGCAGAACCTTGAGAAAAGCAGCGCAGGGGGCCCTTTAGCTCCCTCTGATGGCTCTACAGACACGGAAATGTTTGTGGTTTGGGTTTTTTTTCGAAATATGTTAACAACACTGATCTCTAAATAACATATTTCTTAGCTACTAAATACATTGAATTTGGTGCTCACTGGAATTGTTGACATAACCAGTATTTGATAAGAGGTAAGATGGTAAAAGAGACTCAGGAATGAGTTTTACTTTGAGCTTTTAAAATGGGTACATGGAGTATGGAAAGCCATATCACTCCATGTCTCAGTGATTTACAGATTCTGAAAGGGAATTACTGCATTTTTTACCTTTTCCTCCCCTCAACCTCCCTGATGCTTCCAAGTGATTGGCAAAGGATGAAAAAAGTCCTGCCTAGTTCAAGAAAAGCTCTGTTGAGAAATGACCAACCTGTGCTTTCGGTGACTTGGTGGCCCCACTGAGAGCTTGCTGCAGTGATGCACCTGACTAGACAAACTGTGAACACAAAACAAAGTCCCATGGATTAAGTTGCAAGCAAGACTGAAATGTCGATTCTTCAGGATATGAAAAACAAATGTGTTTTCCATCTCCTTTCTATGGAGTTGAATTCTTAATGCAAACTTTTTATATCCATTGTGTGAAGTCATGGTTCTTTTCTTGGAATCATTTTTTTTTCTGTTTCTTTTTCTCCTAGGCGTCTGGATGCCAACCACATCAGCTATGTGCCCCCCAACTGCTTCAGCGGATTGGTCTCCCTTCGACACCTGTGGCTAGATGATAATTCTTTGACAGAAATTCCCGTCCAAGCTTTTAGAAGTTTACCAGCACTGCAAGCAATGACTCTGGCACTGAATAAAATTCATCACATACCAGACTATGCTTTTGGAAACCTCTCTAGTTTGGTAGTTCTGTAAGTTTTATTGATTGCATTTCAGTCCCAACCTGTGACTTCCTTGCAAGGCCTTGGCCAGCCTTACTGTGATAAATTACTTGAAGATGCAATGTTTAATTGAGACTTTGCTTGAGACAACCTTCCCCTGCCCTGTTGGCAAGTGGTAGATGAATATTCAGATTAGTTAAAGGTCTGTTTTACCTTACAGTGTTAATATAAAACTGATATTTTGGGGCTATAAATCTAAACTTCCTCCTTCATTTTTGCCTTTATTTTTCCTTCCATTTAATGATACTCCTTTACCAAGATTGATTCCTTCATCAGTTCCAGCAAAGGAGATGTGTAACAAAAAAGATTTGTTAACAGAAGAAAGATGGTTTTTTCAAGTACAAATGCATTTTTTTCTACATCATTTTATAAGTAAAAGAAAAACTAAACAATCAATGATCTTGAAGAAAGATTTTTTTTCACATCTTACAGTTAAACTTGTATTGTCCAGGTTGTTTGTTTTGACAAGCTAGCTTAAAAGTTTCCATCTCCAGTAAAAATCTATGCAAGTGAATTGAAAGATCATTGTATCAGGTCCTCAGAGCAAGCAGGAATAGAAGAATTCTATATGTCCTTTAGGACTCTAAGGCAGTATGTAGGGAATGAGGAAAGATTAGAAAGAGGAAATGAACTGAAAAGCTTTCTGGGTGACTTGAAAAGAATTCTGAGCAGCACAAATGTACATATTACCCCTTACAGAAAGTGTATGGAGTTTTGTATTTTGATATGTTCACATGCCACTGCTAAAGAAAACAGATGCAAACCTTGCACTAGAATCTGGAGAGAATACTGTAGAACATGGAATCTTTTTTAAATCTTCCGGAATGTACCAAGTGGAAGAAAAAATTGGACTCTCTAAAGAAATTGAAGAGAAGGATACCTTAGAAAGCAGTAGAACTGCTAAAGAGAGAATAGTGTAGTTAAGACTTAAAAGCTTTTTGAAACTATAGCATATAGAGAGATTTAGCATATTCAAGGGTAGGAATCTGGTGCCACTGTAAGCAGGGTACCTGGGTTCTTGACTGAAAGTTATAATTACCACCGATGCCTATCACTTAATATGAACATTCAATATTCAAGGGTATGAAAATAGGGGGTAACATCTTTGTAGTACTAGATTATTTTGCCCTCTCTTCATATGAAATAAACTGAACTTCAGCATTATTAATCTACTACAGATTAAAGTCTTTGAAGAAGCCTTGTCGTTTGATTGAGCTTCTAGACTTAGTAATACTGAAGATGGAGAAAGTCTTAAAAGCCTACCAGAAATATAGTGATTTGAGGGCAGTTAAGATATCCAGGAGAAAATCACTTCTTTTGAAGTCATAACTGTCTCTGCTCAGTTAGGCCCCTTTTCTTTAGCTCAACCCTGCTTATTTCTGGTCTTCTGGTCTTTTATTTATTAATGAGTTTGCTAATAATTAATTAGGTCCTCATTATCTGTAACATCTGATACTTTTGGCTCACCAAAACCTTTATGTGTGGTTTTGCTGTCTCCCATTTAGTGTTGCAACTTTGAAAAAAACATGTTCAGTAAGAGTAGGCTCGAAAATTTAATTGTTAAAAATCCAAACATAATTGGAATTTGGGGTTAACTCTTTATATTAACTAGAGCCTGAAAGGTCAATGTTGTAGGCATTAAAAAAAAAAAATTGATAGGTTTATTCCTAGGAAAGGAGAAAAACATTGCATTTTTCACATTTTTCTCCAGAATCTCTGACTTTTATGGACTGCCCTCAAGCATGTAGACTAAATTTCTGCAGAATATTTTGCAGAACATTCAGAGAATTTGTTATCTTTAAAAGTTTTTTCAGAGCAGAGTGAAGTGTTGAAAGATTTGTGCCTGGCAGCTCGCTATTCCCAGCTCCTCCTTTCTTTTAAAGTGCTACTCCCATAGTTTCCCTCTACTTTAGAGGTGGAATGTCAAACATAAAAAGAAAGAAATGGCTGCTGAGAAAAAAGAAAAATCCTTTTTTTAAATGAGTTTGCTGCAAGTTCTGTTCTTTTTTTCCAAGTCAATCAAAAAATCTTAGAAATAGGCACCATTTTGGCACAGAGCATGAAAGTCCCAAACTTTCATGTGGGCAAGTTTGATCAAAATATAAGACAGTCTGCGAGATAATAAAATTGCTTTCAATTGCTGAACATTTGAAGAAGCAACTGTTAGTTTTTATTGTTTCAAAAGAATATAAGTTACAGCACATGTAAGATGGTTGTTTACTCATCTCATTGAAGCGACGTGTTTTTGTCCTGTGATTTGCGTCTTGTTTCATTCTGCAGGCCTGATGTCTGTTACCTGCCTGCTTTATTCCCCATCTCCTCACCTGCTCCAGTGCTCTGCCCTTCCCTCTAACATCCTCTGAATACACATCTACCAAACACACCTCGCTCCACCGCACAGTTTTAAGGCAACCTTTTAATTAATCATCAATCTAGAGTTTCACAGTAGTTAATATGCAAACCCCAAGCTACCAGGTTATCCATTTTTTAAACAATCCAAGTGGTTTTAAGACAAATCCCTTCTATGAAACCAAATCAAAGCCTGCATGGGTGGGGAGATACTAGGAGAAAAGGCCGGAGGGAGGTGCCTGCTGTACATGCTCCTGCAAAAGCATGACTTGCATTTAAGCAGCACATGCTTGAAAATAAGTTTCTTTTGATTTAACCATCAAAATGTTTTGCTCAAGTCCACTGTGTGCAATGTGCTTTCCTGACTGTGTGCTTAATGTTCCCCTGCAGACATCTCCATAACAATAGAATCTACTCCCTGGGAAAGAAATGCTTTGATGGGCTCCACAGCCTAGAGACTTTGTGAGTTGACCTCTTATTTGTTTCCCTTTTTTTTTTTTTCCCCCCAGTGTTTTCATTAATATTCTGAAAGAATAAAAATAGCCTAAAAGTTAAATTTGTTTCTGGATTGCCTAATTACTACAAGATCTAAGTGATCGTTCACAATGAATGTATATAACAAAACACGTTTTTGACAATAAAACTAAACTGCCTTTTTAATAAACATTATCAATTAATCAATGGCTTAAAAGATATTTGAAAACTGTACCTCAGTTGAGGTACAGTTCATGAACAGTTCATTCTATTCATGAACAGTTAGGCTTGCCTGTGTTGATATTAATTGTCTTAATCAACTAAGCTAACAACAACTAGATTGGGAAGTTGTCAGAATGAAAAGTTTTAATGTTAATAAGCTGTCTTGCTGAAGGGTGAGTTATAAAATTAGATGGTTTATTAGTTTTTATCCCTGTAAAAAGCGTAAGTGTATGTGTTTTGGAAGAGCGGGGGGAAGGAATTCTTCAATTGTATTCAAGTTTTTGTCTTTAAAGAGCTCCATTAAAGAATGGCACTGGCAAAGATTGAAATTGCCTTAGATTTTCACCATAGTTTTGTTCAGACAGCTCCAAGTTTTCTTGCATTTTCTAACAAAATTTAGTTCTACAGAAGAACACCAAAAAAGAACGTATTTGCCAGTTAGATGAATAAAGATGCTGCCCGCCGGAGCAGACCTCAGAACCCGAAAGAGTCCAGGGACAAGAAAACTCTGTGTTTCTTTTCCCCTGCATCTCCACCAGTTGAATGCTGTCAAGGGATCTCAGAGATTTCACCCAAACAGGGCAGGGGCTAAAATGGTGCTAACCCATTATAAGGAGCAAGGTAGAGTATCAAACAAGGATTATGCTGCTCTAAAGCTCTTGATTTGCTTTCTCATCCATAGAAGCATTTTGTACCCGCTTTCATTTTTCACTAAGATCAGAAGGCAGAAAGTTGGGGCTTTTTTTAATCACTAGTTTTGACTGCGTCATCCCTTAGCATTGCATGGCAAAGTTACAATTTTGACTTTTATCCTGCAGTGAATTGAAAGGAAGTCCCTCAGTGTAGCACAGGAAAGGGGAACAGGAAAGGGAGAAGGATAATGTAATAGTTTGTTTTTTACTTTTTTTTTTAATTAGATTCACATGGCATTTGGTCAAAAATGTGGGGAAAAAAATGAACAATGGAATAAGAAATTACAAACCCAGTCCCAGCCACCTGGTATGAAAGAGCTGAAAATGTAGATAGCCTGCAGATAGACACTGCACTGGGTCATAAGTGTAGGTGCAGCCACTTCACTGCTATAGGGCAATAGAGCATTAACATCAAGCACACTGACTGGCAACCACACTGTATAGACCAGTTTCGAGATAGTTTCAAGATAATCTGAAGAGATCACAGTGTAAATGATGGAAACCAGCTATGGGGCCATTGGTTGCATCAACACATCGGTCTGGAAATTGCATATCACCGGACAGCAAAACAAAACTGTACATGCCCGTAGTCTCTTTTTATCAACGAGCAGGAGCAGGAAAGATTTACAAGCAGGAAAGAAAGCCTTGGTGAGTTCAGACAGCAGTTTCCTGCCTGCATTACTTCAGCCTGATACTATTTCAATTTCAGTCTATTGTAAACTGATTTGTGTTTTGCCCATTTGCAAAGTCTCCTACTGAAGGCTTTTAGACTGTATGCCTCGAAAAGCAGTGCCCCAGGAGCATCATGTTAAACGGATGTATCTTAATCTTAGTTACAGGTGTTCTCCTAAAGCAAAATGATGCGCATGACATGTGAAAGGCAGGACTATGTGTACAGTCTCTTCAGTTTAACAGAATGAGGTCTAATTAGCATTGCAGCTTGAGCATTTCCTAAAGCAAAGGTCAATGGTCTGGTTAAAATGCCATTTTTTATGATTTGTATGGTTCTCCATGTGAATATTGACAAAACTCACAGTTGACAGTATTGTTAATGATTAATGTTGAACTCACTGGATATTTTGCTACTTGATTAGAACAGGAGAAGATATCTCCCAATCATTTTTACACTCTCAGTTTCAGTGTGTCTCATTTTTCCCACTTAATATTTCTTAGTCTCACAGACCATGATAAGAATCATCAGAGAAAAAAAAGGAAAGATCAATACAATAAGACAGTATATCAGAGGGAATTGAAGCCTTTATAATAACTCATATAAGCCCTGTAAAATTCAGGTCAGCATACCTAGTTGTTGAATATTCTATTCATAAGGCAGAGGAAAGGTAGAATAATTCATATTCTTCCATTAATGTTTTCATAGAATAAAATGAATAGAGAATTTACTAAGCAGGTCCCTTACCAATACCTGAATCCATTCATATTTTCTTCATTGAAATATAGCTAATGTGTAATTAAAAATAAGAGACTGATCAGAAAATAGAAACCATAATGTACCCTGAATGGAATTTATTAGAAAACATCCTTATGCTTTTGAGGATTTCCTGACTTCTGGCTCATGTATTTATTTAATGCATGGAAGATGATATTTTGTTACAGATGCCAACAGTTCTGTGTTATCCCTTAAAGACTGTATAACCTAAACAATGCAATCTATTTTTACACAGAGATTTAAATTACAACAGTCTGGACGAGTTTCCTACTGCTATAAGGACACTGACAAACCTAAAAGAATTGTAAGTACTGGGTTGTATTAGGAAGTAGGATGTTTTGTCTAGTGTGTGACTAATTTTTTTTTTCTTTTCATGTTGGTGATTGTATCAGTTATCCTTAAAAACTGTTGTCCTGGAAATAACTAATAACCATGCCAACATGCAGAAAGATAATTTTCAAGATTTAGTTTGGAGCGTTTAAATTCTGACAGCTTTTACTTTTGTACTGAAATGTACTGTGGAGTGGTTTTTTTTCAAAGAATTTTGTCCATAGAATGTGCTGCAGTTTGTTTTGACTACCAAACACTGCAGTTTGTTTCAGACTGCTCAACAATACCACATTCTTCTAGGCTAGAAAAAGCTGCATCTCTCCAATTTGCCCATCAGGTTTAATGTGTGCCACTGTTGCATCAAAAACTGATCATAAAGCCAGTTTAAGTAATTAGCTAGGATTTTCTCCAAAGCAGGGAATTCCCAAGCAATGCTGACTCCAGCTCAGCAGCTCCAATGCTAGCAAAGACTATGACTCTGGAGAAGGGTAACGGGCTCTGAATTTCTTAGTCCAACTATTCCCAGCTGCCACAATGTGCACTGTGAACTACAAACAATTGCCATGAAATCCAGAGGCTTCGAAGACTGCCTTTTTGCTGTCCTCAGGAGCCAGTAGCCAAACATGGATAAATCAAGGTTTGCAGTAAGTGCACATTATGAAGTCCAGCAAATAGACTGATATGCTTGAGATTATTTCTAATCAGGGCCTTACCTCAAACACTGCTGGTTCAGATAATTTGGAATGAAATGGAATATGAAATTGCAGTCTAAAGTTCCAAATCGGACAGAATTTGACCATATTGTTCAGTGCTTTGTCTGGGCTAAGGATGCTGATCCTTAAAGTGCAGGGTCTTTCCCATGAGGTTCTGCATGTCCTTCAGTTCTGACCTAAGTCAGAGCCCTAGACCGTAGAGGTTCAACTCTTTGTAGGGCTGTCTTAGTAAGGCTGATCCTGGTCAGGGCTGTGTCTCTGTCACAATTTGTACCTGTGCTTGAAAGCACAGAATATGGCCAGTTGTGAAGGACTTACAGACATCAAGATCTATGGATCTGCTGGTAAGTGGCCAAGGGTCTCTGCTTTATCCATTTGATGCTACAGGAGCTGCACTGTCCCAGATATTCTACTTGAAGGACTCAGTTGTAAGATTAGTTAACCCTGTAAAATAAGTAGATATACTTATTACTCAAAGTTAATGCATAGGAGTGTTGGTCAGGCTGGATTTCAAAGATACCTACAGAAACATTTTTCCTAGCATGGCCTTACTATAGATTTTTACCTAGTGGTGCAGACAGCACATTGATTCGTGAGGTGAACAAACAAGATCAAAACCAGCTTCAGTTCACTGTACCCACTGGAGTACAGTGCCACGGCATGGGGTACAGTGCCACAGCAACTGGGCACACCCTGTCCCTCTGGGTATAAACACACTGGAATATGTGTTCCTGGAATATGTATCCTCTTCACTGAGGATGGTGCTGCTCCCTCACTGAACCTGTCATGCCATTTCCTTAGTACAACCATTCAGTCATGCCCATTCAGTACAACCACACAGTCTGTTTTTTGCTTCTAGATGAAATGGTTCCTCAAATTCCTTAGAATCTCTGTGTATATGGATTATATTCTTTATTTCATACAAAAGAATTAGGAATTTAGAACATTTTTTTTTTTCTGTAGCTCATCAGAAGTAACAAGACAGCTAAATGAGTGAAAACAATATTGTGGGACCTGTTCAAGTAATGACCATATGTGCTTGCATCAGTGAACTATCTGAGGCTTTCTAAATGCATAAATTTACTCTGGGAAGGTTTTTTCATACCAGACTGAACTAAAGGGAGTTTCCCACACAAATCACCATTGTTCCTTTTGAAGCTTAGTTGTTTCTTTTGTTTTTCACAATAGAGAATTACTCATATGAGTAAAACCCAGTAATTAATGGCAAGACAAAGATTTGGTCCTCTATTCAGCAGGCACAAACACATTGGATAATTTGTTCATGTCCACATCTAAATTATTTCGACAAAAAGGTTGTTTGGTGAGGCTCAGCATATTACAGTCTAGTGTATAAAACAATTACAAACAATTCATTATTATCCCAGGGAAAGAAATACTTGTGATTTAACAAGTACAGTGTGAATATATATATATATATATGTATATATATATACACACACATGTGTGTGTGTGCGTGTATGTTATATATAATATATACCTTATGTATATACACACTCATCATGCACCTACGTGGGTATGCGTTGTACCCTATTACGCACTGTTTCCTACTGTTTAAAATGCTATTTTGTAATTTGCTTCATTTAAGACATTGTCCACATAGAAAAGCTATTTCTTTCCTTTCTTTCCTTTTTTTGTTCTACTTTTCTAGAACCTGTCTGCTTCTAGAAAACAAAGACATACTTTCAAATAAAGCCACTTTCCTTATTGGGAAACAAAAAAAATCCAGATATGCATTCACTATATTTTTCTTACTGTGTAAACTTCTGTTTTTTGCTTTTTCTAGAGGATTTCACAGCAATAACATCAAGTCAATACCGGAACGTGCATTTGTGGGCAATCCATCACTTAATACAATGTAAGTTATGATAGTTTACCAATAACACTTGTTAATAAAGGTGGAATTAAATATCACAGTTGTGGCTATCAGGCAGATCTCCTTCTGGCTCTACGGTGCAACAAGCTATCATACAAGTCAAGAAAAGCTTCTATCTTTCCACCTTCATAGAGAGTTGAGCAGTTTGCATACCCAGTTAAATGTGCATTTAGCCTGCTGTTCAAAACATAGCTTATGAGGCTCTTAGGATTACTCTCAGTGTAAAAGCTAGGGAAAAACTACTCTTCATGGCTTCTAGTCTCAGTTCCTATTGACGTATATATGAATGAATTTGACTGGCAAACTGCAAAATAAGAAAAAAAGTGAGAAAAATAATGACTCACTTTGAGGGATATTAGTCCATGAGCAAAAACCACATGGCTTCCATAATGCCATGGGACTCAAATGCTCTGGATAGGCAGCCTCTTCCAACAATATAAAGTTCTGACTCTTTCACCTGCTAAATTCATATGTGTATCAGGTCATAACCAGGGCTTCATCTTCACATTTCTATCTTTGCAAACCTGGGAGAAAGAGGAAATATTTTATTGACTGGCTTCTAGCTTTGAAGCCAAGGCGACAATGGCTGCTTGAGCATTCCAGGTCAGGTTGATGGAAATGGGTTAGTGGGTGAGAAAAAGCCCAGCGGTGCACCAAGTTTGTGATTCTTTCCGTGGAGTTTGTTCATTTTCATATAGTGTAATTGTGGGATTTTTTTTTAATCTTTCAAAATATTTTGCATAAAATGTCTTTTTCTCCAATTCTTGCAGACATTTCTATGATAACCCTATCCAGCTGGTTGGAAAATCCGCTTTTCAACACTTACCAGAACTCAGAACTCTGTATGTGTTGTTGTTGTTTTCTTTTTTTAATTGTCTTTATATAGTGCACTATTACAATTGTCCCACAGTTCCCTGACAATAATGATACTGAAATGATGTTTTTAATTTCCAGGACTTTAAATGGTGCTTCACAGATAACAGAGTTTCCTGATCTGACTGGGACTACAAGTTTGGAGAGTCTGTAAGTCTACAGAAGTACTCCACAGTATGCAAAATAAATGATTTTTTTTTCTTTGTTTTGATTTCTGGGATATTGACTTATTTTAAGGAATGACCTAAAAAAGTATTTTCTTTGCAGTGTTTAATTTTTTTTTTTTAATGCTTTCAACAGGACACTCACAGGAGCACAAATCACCTCTCTACCCAAATCAGCCTGTGACCAGTTACCTAATCTCCAAGTGCTGTACGTTTCAGTAAGATTGATAACATTACATTAAATCAAGAAATCAGTGCACAAATGAAATGATTATGATTTTGAAATTACCCATTTTCGGATATTTCTGTGTATCACATTACTGCTTAGGAACTCAGATAAGGGAGCAGGCCCCCATTTTGCTCAATGATACCATCTTCAACAACCTCACATTCCACTCATCAGTGAGGATTTCCCATGCTTCGTTGAAAAGAATGCTTTTTACATATAGATGCTTTGCATTTTTTTAGGAAAGAGAAAATTATTTGTTTAAAAAAAACACCAGAATTACTTTCATGGCCTTGTTTGGGTTCCGTCTGTCTGCACATCTCCTTTTTTTCACATTGAGGCAGATAATTCAGTGAAGTCAGTGGAAAATACAATTGAATAATGACTGCAGTTTGGGGCTTTATTATGCTTCTTTTTTACTTTCTTTTCCAATCAAACATAAGTAGTTGACTGAAATTTTAATAGACTATTCCTTTGCATAATGAGGCATAGTTTTTCTGCTAACTATACAGTATTATTTTAGTTTGCAGATATCCTGGGAATATGTCACTAACGAAAGTAATCATTCTGTCTGCTTCTTTGAGAACGAGCCAACAGCAGTCTCTTCTACATTACATCACTAGGAATGTATTCGGTATTAGTTATCTTGGCCAATGCTGAAATAGTACTAATTATAACACATTATTTGAATACCAGCGTGGATGTCACGAACTGTTTCTAGAAAAATTTAAGTTTTACTTCATGGACTCAATCTAATCATTTCCAGAATGATAAAAGACAAAAACTGAGTTTGCTGCCAGAATAAAGTTTGCACACAGGCTTAAATTTAGATATGACTTGTATTATTTAAAAATGATAAATAAACTCTAAACAGAAAGCACAGAAACTTTATAGTAATGTAAACACAGTTCATGGTACTGTTCATAGTAGAGTGGGACCTTCCATTGGAAATTCGCATTTTATATTTTCCTGGCATTTAGAAGACAGGGGAATGAATTTGACAGCAGTGTCATGTACTCATAGTTTCCACCAAGGCCACAGTTAAGCTTGCACATTACTTCTGTCTGCTTCATGAATAATAGTGGGGCACTGAGGCCCACAAGTCATTTGGAGGTAGCAATTTTGAAGACTTCCTGGCTCAGACACAGCAAGAAAACCTCTGCTTTGAAACACAAATCTACAAACACAGATACTTTTTTGAAGGCCAATTTGGGCATCTTCCCATGCTTCCAAATACAAACCTGCAGCGAAGGTCTATCTGAGAACATGGCTCCAGCAGGCTTCACAAGACAGCTCTCAGCATGGTTAGGTGCTCACCTCATCATGGGAACCATAAGCACTTGTCTTCTGCTGCAAAGACCTTTGTGTAATTCACTTTTTATAACAAAAAGGGAAAAAAAAAACCTTCCTATTGCTCTATTAGGCTGAGGCTAGGGGGATATTTTTTTTCTGATATGTGGAGAGGGAGTGTCAGTATGTATCAAATCCAGGTTGCTAGCATCCTTTTAAGAAGACCCAAGAGGCACATCTGTATGACAGGATAGTCATAATCCACCAGACGTACCAAAAACCTTTCAACCCAGCTTAAAAGCCTCCAGCTCACTAGACATGTGGTCCAAGTCAGTCATGAGAACAATTATATTGAGCTGGAAACTTTTAAGGTGAGGTGAAAGAGTCAGTAAATTTTGCTACCATAACAAAAATGTGTATGTTAATGGTAGCCTGTGTGCACAGTAAAATGGGATACATAACGTTCACACACTGTCATTGCTTGTAGCATTTCCACAAATTACATCTAGAATGTATGAAATGCTCCTGTCAGGACAGTAAAAATGAAAATTATTTTTTTCCCTAAGGAAGCAACTTAATAGAGCTGAACCAGTTTTAAAGGATTTAAAGCAGGCAAGAAAACATATTACCCTTTAAATGGATAATCTTAGATAACAGTGGGAAAGGACATCTTTCCTGTTTATAGTTACGATTTTCTCTTCATAAGCTAAATTTCCATTCAGTTTGATGAGTTTTCCCTGAGCGAGATGTACAGGATGAAACTGTTATTCAGGGAGGGGGTGGGGAGCAGGAGAATTGGTTCTTATTTTTTCTTGCCAATTTCTGCAAATTGCCAGGGCTTGTTTTTGGTTAGTTATATTATACTATAAATCAGTCCAGATGTTTCACTTATTCTGTAATTTGTTGAGTTTTGGCTCAAGTCTTTTTTTTTTTTTTTTCCTCCATATAGTGATTGATTTCAAAGTTAGTTCCAATATATTTTTAACCAGAGCTGGCAACTGGAAGATAAAGCAGTTCTAAGGGTCACAAGCAACACTTCTTCATTGAAAGTGTAGACTGGAAAGCTGATTGCTGTTCAGTGAGACTATAGCCAGAAAATATCCAATCTTTTCTGACAAAATATGAGTGTATGTATCTGGTAGATTTTTTAAATTGTGTATTTGTCTATATTAGATTTGAGGAATATGAATCTATTCCATAATAGCATACTGCAGATTTCATTGCTGTACAACACTCAGATGTCTCTGTTTCAGGCAGGAAATCTTCAGACAATGCAAGGAATTTTCAAGCATAGGATATGGATTCAATACATCCTAACTTTCCCCCTCCCTTCCCCTCCTCCTCTTCAGTTAGAAGTCAAAATCTGACAGATGAACTAGGACTGCACATTTCTGTTCCTTTGTGAGTGTGAATAAAGACAAGTTATTTTTAAATCCGCATGAAGTGAGCTGATTTCCAAAAGGGCAGCTTTTTCTTTTAATGTTATCTTGCTTTTAATGTTTATTTTCTTGTCTTGTGTATTGCAGGGATCTGTCATATAATCTGCTGGAAGATTTACCCTGTTTTACTGCGTGTAAAAAGCTCCAGAAAATGTAAGCCTAAGAAGAGACATCTCTATGCAAAGTTGCTTGGACATAATTAATTTTGTTACTGCTTGCTAATTTGACATATCCCACATACATCCCCTTACAATATAAGGAAGTGGACCCATGAACTCAGTCTAAAATACCCCAAAGCCTCCTCCAAATGCCTTTGAAACCAATGAGGTTCTTCTTGCTGTTTCAGTGACTTGCATCACAACGAAATCGATGAAATTAAAGCAGACACTTTTCGGCAACTGGCTTCGCTGCGTTCTCTGTGAGTACAGCCATAAGCATGGCCCATTCACCTGGCTTCTCAGAAACACTTCGTGTACTCTCTGTCCCCAAATGTTCCTATTTTTCCTCACTTGGATCATTCACCCATTAGGTCATAATTGTAAAACCGGAATAAACACTGTGAAGTTGATCATCTGCAGCGATGAATTCAAAGCTGTAAACATATGGCCATGAGAGCTGCTGCTTCTAAACATTTCTAGTGAAGGTGGAGAGAGATGCTGAGCCAAAGGTAGCATCTGTTGGCAGATTCACAGTGATGGGCTCTAGGGAGCATGAGATCTTTTTCTAGAGGATGGTTTGGGAAAAGTGTGTACCAATCCTGCACGGATTTCTGGTTTTCACAGACAAGTATTCTAATAAGGTAATTTTGTGGATAAATTTATCCATTTCCTATGGCTCTAAGTCTTTGCAAAAGTTTTCTTTTTTTGTTTGTTTGTTTTTAGAAGTGTTTTCAAACTTCCCAATTTTTCAAGGGAGATGAGGATTCTGGTTAGGAAAATGAGCCTCTTGACAACGGATTTGGTCTTCCTAGGAATTCTTGAGAATTTCTTAGAAGTTGTGTATATACACACTCTTTCTGCTGCACTGGTATACTGTGAAGCAGACTGAAAGCAACTGAGTTAGATTATAGAAGTCATTAAGAAATTTTAGAAAAACTTGTCAGTTTGGTAACTGACATCATTAATGGATTAACATTGTTTAAAAACTGGGAAAAGACATGGAGAACCTTATTGGAAGTACTTGCATGTAATTAATACTTTTTAAAATATATTTAAGCATCCTAATCAAGTGTATGAAAACTGCCATATTAATTCAGTAAATATGCAATTTTCCGCTCACTTTTCTTGTAGGGACTTAGCTTGGAACAAAATTAAAATTATTCATCCCAATGCATTCTCTTCTTTACCATCTCTGATCAAACTGTAAGTATTGATATCTATATGTTTAAATGTTCAAATTTTTCTTGCAAGAGCATATAAAATCTCATAACTTAGTCCCATACTCAGTAGAAATAGAGATTTTCTCTACTGTAATTCTCTGATCTATTGAATTTTTATCTATATGTCTTCTTTTTCATGTTTCAGCAACTCCCATAGAATTATGGCTGCATAGAGTGTAATCACAGTGATTTGGGGCCCATAAAGTATCTGCTTTTCTTCTATTAGTTAATAGTTTAATCTTCTGTAGCAGTGCTTCAGGGACAGGTTTGTTATTATTTCTGTATCAGGACTAAGAAATCAGATTCAAAACTGAATACCATTTTAAGTAAGCATTTTATTTCATTTTATTCTCATTTGATGGAGTGGGTTTTCTTCTTTTATAGCTTTTAGCCTGAGCAGTTAGTGGTAAAAAAAAGCAGAGGTCTGATTTTGCAGGTCTTATTTACAAACTCTTCTCAGTCTTCATGAACTTCTTCCTGCTTCCCACTGTCCAATACCCCCGCTCCAATACCGTATCTTTAAGGTGTCTCCTTGAGACAGTGGGTGTACAGGGAGGACCTGAAGGAAAATTCCTCCAAAGTTATCTCGCTCACAAGGACATGCTGCTGCCATCTGTTCCCAGATAATCCAGCATCTGCTGGGAAACCTGGAACTGGAAAGCCAGTGTGGGCTGCATCAGTAACCTGTTGCTGTGCAAACCTCCTGTCTTGATGGCGCACTGACTAATATCCGTAGGCAGAGCATTGCCTACTACATGTCTGTTTTTTTGTCTTTCCTCAGGGCTTTCCTGTAGAAGAAAATAAATGAGAAACGGATGAGAGAACACTGTTCTACCAGCAGGAATCTGTAGTTTTGGTCTATAGCACTGGATAGTAAGAGAGCACTAAAGAAAATTGCCCTTTAACACATACAGTAAACCAGTGTATCAGTGTTACCTGCCGTGCCAGTCAGTGTCCTGGTCTGACTGAAGTCAGTAGTAGTTTTTTCCATTTCAGTGGGACCAAAAATTCACCTTTGCTATTTAACCATCTTTTGAGTAATATCATACACACACAAAGAGCATCAACATACCTCTTTTTTATGGCTGGCCCCTAAGATTACAGTAATTTCATTAGATCATTTCAGTAGCAATCCTCTTCTTATTCCTTCCTGAGTTTTGACCAACATAAATATTGCAATGTAGCTTCCATCTCCAAGCTTACTTTATCCATGTTGATCTGCATGGATCATCTTCCCTCAGCTCAGAACCTTCTCACCTTCTTTCTGCAGCTCAGACCTGTCCTGCTCTGATCCTACTTCTTCCCTGTCCACTGGCCCTGCTGTAGAGGATTCACAGCAGCCATTTGCTCCTGCATCCCACTGAACTGTTTAAGCTGCAGGAATTTGTTCTGGTACTGGTCTGGTACTGGTAAAACCAACAGTCCAATGAACTGGTTTTAGATTCATTTGCTAGCCTCAAAACTCTCGCTGTGAATGCTTGGAGTCAAAACTTAACAGTAGAGATTACTCTTAGCAGGCTGCTAGATACTACTGCTAGCTCTCTGCTAGACACATAGATGTTTCTCCTGAATGGTGCTGCACATTTGCTCTGGTGTTTGAGGGATCTCTGCTTAACGCAGTGATCTCTGATAGAGTCCAAAATGTATAACCTGTTTTTCCAGCATGACACGTTTAGTGCTGAAGAAAAAAAAAATGAAAACTTGTAAACTGATTTTTTATTTGCTGTTATGCAGGGACGTGTCATCCAACCTTTTGTCCTCTTTTCCTGTGACGGGGCTTCATGGTCTAACTCATTTAAAATTAACAGGAAATCATGCCCTACAAAGTTTGATATCATCGGAAAATTTTCCAGACCTCAAGTGAGTATAGCATTAAAACTAATAAGTCACATCTGGGTTCATGTGCAGTAGAAGGTGTGTCAGTGTCTCTGGCATGTTGCTTTGTGTTATCACTTTGATCTGTGCTGTTAAAACTAAAGCAAATATGATAAAAATATGATAGACTTATTTTATTATGCTCATTTTGAACTGAAGAAACTCTGAAGGGTTTTGAAATATTAACCCCAGCACTTGCTTAAAAGTGAGCTACTTTCTGCTTGCTGGTGGTATGATTCAAAAGCTTTTAAAGCAATATTACTTAGAGATAGGCTCTTCTGCTGCTGGCTGTTCTAGCAAAACGTCCATCAAATTTAATGAGAACTCAGTAAACATGAAGAGAAGAAAATTTTAAAATGTTTGCTCATACTTGTTTAAAGTAGAAACGAATAGATTTTCACTTTAATCTTTTGATTAAGATTCAGATAATATTTGTCCATCACTATTAAACCATTTTGATGCTGAGAGTTTTCTGCTGGATGCTCTGTGCTACAGGAAGGGAATGTTTTCTAGAGATTATTTGCAATTCTGCCAGTCATTGGATGACCACAGAAAAATCATTTTAAAGGGAGACTTGCCTCCGACTTGGATATTGGACATTTGGGAGTGGCACTAAGTTTTAGTTCCCTTGATTTTTTTATTTTAACTGGAAGATGTCCAAGTGTAAAATATATTTTTATTCTCTATTTCCTCATTTTATTGTAAAAGGTTTGATATCATTTGAAACAAATAGCACATGCATAAGTCATTCAACTTTTGTGCCACAAGAGTTCTGTAAGTCACAGCAGGCCAACAACTCAAGAAGACGTAGCACTGGTGAAAAGGACTACAGCAGCTCGGACTTACAAATAAGAGAGTTGTGAGTAGAAATAGGGAAGCTTCTTTAACCTCTGTATACTGTGCTGGAGGGAAACACACTAGAAAATTCTGTGGTGGTATATTATTATGATCAAGAGAGAAGAACTGCAAAAAATGGTTCCAGAATTGGAAGCAAATGCTTTAAAACACTTAATAAAACCAATACCTATAGTTTGTCACAGAGAAGATTGGGCAATGACATGAGCACCATATTGTGGTGCTGTTTGTTTTTCTTGACTTTGCCTGCACATTGAGGCAGATGGCTATCCTAAATATCTGAAGGTTCTTGAAAAGCATATAAACACAAGAAAATCACTGAGTCAAGCTAACAAGTGTACAGTAATATATATGTATAGGCTTGGCCTACAGGCATTACAGCAATACAGCAGGTATTGCTTCTAGAATAATTCACTAGTTAACTGAATTATGTGCAACTTGGGTTTGTTAATTCTTTTATTAAAAAAATATATTTTCCTCCAGTAAAATTATGTACATTGCTAAAATGCAACTCTAATAGATCTGATCCGTGTAAGTACTTTACAAGGAAGTGTCAGACAAGAGCTGAAGTCATTAGAAAAAGTATGAGATATGATTACCTGTCCCAAGCTGATTGATATCTGTAAGAGCAAAGGTCATCTCGTCAGGAGATGATGGGGTAAAATCTTGACCTGGAGTCCATAGGACTTTTACCATGAATTAAAATGGTCATGACTTAACACAAGATCACTTAATGGGCAATGAATAAAGCACCAACCTTGAACAGAGATCTAAAACAAAATGAAATTTCACCCATTATAATTGCTGGAACCAGAACTTGGTTATAATATTAAAGATAAATTCCTGTGTGAAAGCTTCCTACTTTCATGCTTTCCCACCTAAGCGGGTCATTGTTCTCCAGTGCACAAACACATCAAACAGCTGAGCATCCTCTTTGCTCCACCTTTACAAGAGCACAAGCAAGTCCACAGCTTAGCCCAGCCTGCTATGAGGAAATAAAGCCGTGGTGCCAGCCACTCCTTCCTTCTTTATCTGATGCCTTGATTCACAACTGTAAAGAATCAAGTTACTAGCTCTATCCATCATAACTGTGTGTTCCCAGTCATTGGCAACTACACACCTTTGTGAGCTGAAAAATGGCATTGTGTTCTCTGCTGCTTAATCAAAAACCAAAGCAAGCATTCCTTGCTTCAGGAAGGAGGAATAAAATAAAAGCAAAGCTACAGATACCATCAGTAAGATAAGCAGTATATAAAAGCAGACCCAGCTAGTGTTTTTTAACAAATTGAACTTGACAAAATCTAAATCACCCATATCATATAGGAACCTACTGTAGGAAAAAATAGATTCCAGCACTGTATGGCTGGAAAAGAGAGTCTTGCTCTTTAACTGAGATGATAGTATAAAAGTTTGGGAGAGTTTTGGAAAGAGTGGAAGAGCATAATGTGAGAGGCCCAGATTTCAACCCCAGGAGTGGCCATAAGACCGGTAGAAGATCAACAGCATCTGGGAACCTGTCATTATTAAGTGTATGGTGCCTTTGGATTAACCAGAGGATACATTAGCATCAGTCACTTGGGAGTGCAGTATCCTCCAGCTAGTCTTCCTACACAAGTAGGAACTTCTTCCAAAAGGTCTGGAGCCCTTAGTCACAGCCATCACCTTGTAGAACTTTCAAAGCTTTTTTTTTAATAAGGTTATTTTGTCAGAAAAGGGGCACTTCTAGTGTTAAACAGTTCATGGGGATTGCTTTTCAACCTAGAAGATGAGTAACGGTGGGGTACTCTAGTAAAATATGGGTTTAATAATAGTTTATATAAGGACAGCTTCTGGGATATTTTTTTTACAAATTATTTAATCAGATAATCTCATTATTTTAAAAGAACATATGCACAGAAATGAGTCAGAAATTAAGTATTAAGATCTGCTGGCATAATGATGATTTATCTTGATCACCTTAAAGTTTACTGGAGTACTTAAAAAAATGTAATGTAAATTTTTGCATGACATTCAATAGTACAGATCGTTGTTGCTAATTCCCAAAAGAAATATCAGCAAGTAGAAACAGAATGCCCCAAGATGCACTCATTTAAAAAATAAGTTTAGGGTTAAGGTTAGTTTGTTCCCTTTTATACCCAGCTTTTAGCTAGTGTGCAAGTTGAATATGTGAGCATTCATTATGTTAATTTACATGAATAAAGTATTAAAAGTGATCTAGTAGGAGATAGATCTATCTTATTCCTTTTAAGTTAAGTCAGAACAGTTTTTAATCACCTCTTTTAGGCTTGATTTGTTTTTGGTTGGCTTTTGAAATGAAGGTGAATTGTTGTGTTTTACTGCATATTATTGGAGAATAGCATTGATTCAGTATCTTTACTTCCAAAGCATAATGTCCAAGAAATAGAAGAAATAGTCTGTAAGACTAGTAAAAAGAAATAGTTTTTCCATACTACTCCAAAATTTACACCTTCCCAAGGTAATGAAATTCAAAACATATAGAAAAGCAGTGACATGATTGTCAACAGAAACCCTCAGAATCACTGAAACTCACTGACTGATACTCAGTTATGTTCTGGAATATCAGTGATCTTAAAAAAAAAAATTAGTAATGAACATCCTGTATCACCAGGCACATTCCTATGACAATTAATTAAGTGAAATGTTTTCTTCTATGGTGCTGTTTTCACACCTGATGTTTCCAATAGATTCACATTTACTATTCAGTTCAGAATATTGCTTTTTTTGGTCTGTGCATGAAAGACAATCTCCTCTGCTGTTTCACTGAAAAAAAAGGTTGAGGTAGAGAGAAGAGGATGAAGTTTGAATATAAAAGCAGATCTCATTTGTCCAAAAAAGAGAAATGCTATTTGGAACATATTTTTTTGTGTGTTTTGTGAGTAGAGGCAGTTATGATCTTCAAATCTGCTTAAAAAAAAAAAAAAAAAAAAAAAAGGAATTAATAGCTGAGCTACACTGTAAAATCATTAAAAAGAAAAAAATACAAATATGACTGTCAGAGCAACACTCACTCAACTGCAAGGCACATGTCTCTAAGTGCTAAATTATATATGTAATTTAAAATACTATTAGATATGTCAATTGTGAGGACATATAGGAAATGCTATTATGCCTTTAATAAAATAAACCTAGAAATCATTTGCATTTCTGACAAGGAATCTTGTATGTGAACCCATTTTGCATTACCACGATGGATTACTTTCAATCACGGTTGCTTAACCAAGCTCCTCTGTGCTAACACAAGCGGGTCAATGCAACCCAGTGGCTCTGGCACTCGAAAGCAACTGCTTTTTCATGGCATGCTTCCTTGCCAGGGTCATGGAGATGCCTTATGCTTATCAGTGCTGTGCCTTTGGAGCTTGCGAGAGCCACTACAAAATCTCCAGCCAGTGGGGCAAAGACGAGAACAGCAGCCTGGACGACTTTCACAGGAAGGATACCGGGTTGTTGCAAATTCAAGGTAAGCCTCATCTTTTGCTTTATGGTCTACCTAAAGCCTGTGATGTGTCCAGAGAAAGGAGTAGAAATTCTGACACGGTGTTTCACAGGAGCAGCCTGTGATGTTCATTAAATGCAATACTCTCTTACAGTCAGAGAGACAGCCTCTCCCTCTCTTTTGCCTAATTATATGTCATCCAATATTTTATGATACTTAGCAGTCTCATTGTTCCAGACAAGCCTTTCAAAACTCCCAGTCACTCTTCTTTCTACCAAATTGCTAACTATAAGAATGTGGGAAGTGAAATCTTCCCTATATTTGAGAGGAAGGGAAGCAGCGGTGCTGTGTTGCAATAAACCTCCTGTAACAGCAGATCTGCAAAGACCCAGGTCACAGTTTCTTGGCCAGGCTGGGAGGTTTCCTTGGCTTACCTGTGCTGTGTACCTGCTTCAGAGCGAGTCACAGCACTAGTATGGATAACTTGGCATCCCTGCCAGTGTTTTTTACTGACACTTCCTAAGTACGAAGAGTGCATCTGCTCTCCAGGATAGACTATTACTGTATATTTCCTCCTCTTCAACACAAGGACTGTTATGTGACCTGTTACAGTAAATAACTGTCTTACAAGTAACTACATGTTAAATTAGCTTGTTCTTTTCTGTCCTATCTCTACTTCTGCAAACCGTTAATTTCAGATACCAGGGCTGGCCCCAGCAAGAGTGGAGCCAACAAGACACAGTGAAGCTATGACATTAAAAATTAAATGGAAAGGAACCTGGGTTAAATCTTAGAAGTTCTACCTTTCTGAGGGTGGTTATTTCAGAGATAAGCTAGTGACAATTTTTTAAGTATTTCTGAGTACAGTAATTCAAAACCAAGCAAGTGTTATGTCCACTTCTGCTTGTAGTTTGGTAGGCAAAGGGACAAGAGCAAGCCTTAAATTCAACAGACATGTTTTGCAATTTATACTAAAGAAGTTCTCTTAAAAATAGCAGTGCTAAATTTTGGTGCTTTCTTCTCCACAGATGAACGTGATTTTGAGGATTTTCTTCTGGATTTTGAAGAGGATTTAAAAGCTCATCATTCAGTGCAGTGTTCACCTTCTCCAGGTACGGAACTGCTAGGCAGATAGGAAACCAAATACACGTTTATCAGATATTTGAAATGCAGAACAAACTGTTGTTCTGGTATTAGGAAGCATGATGTTTTGAAATTATTTGCTGAGAACAAATACGTTTTACAATAATACAAATTTTGCACTGAGGCCCAGAAGGCTATTCAGCTACTCAAGTCATCTATGAATACACTGGAAGTTTTACCTCATCTTCAGACAAATTCTTACTCCAGACTTCTTATCAGAAATTTAAAATTTGTTTTTAGCAAGAAAATGGTATAGAACAGAATCTTGGTTCTCTCATTCCATGTAAAACTAAACTAATTCCTCTGAAATTCATCATGGGATGCTACGCTTGAGATCCTTGAGAAACACAGGTTAGTTCAATAGCTAACAAATATCAAACACTACTGGATCCTGTTCAGGCCATCACAAATGACCCTCACCACTGTCATTTTCTTTATAGAGTAGTGCATCCCTGGCTTAGCAATGTGGAAGGGACAAAAAAGAAATTCTTCAGTTAAAATGCAAAGCTGCAGTCCATCGATTCCACAGAAAAATTCCTTCAGAGCACAGAGAGAAGCATGCCCACTTCTTTCCCACCGTACAGACAGCAGTGACATGTTCTTCATTACTGCAAATGAGTCTTGGACAGTGTAATGGCATTTGTAAGGCAGCCAAAGTGCATCTGCCCATATCCATTACCTGACTCTTCACTGGGACTCATCAAACATGTCCCAGGGCAGTGAGAAGTGTCTTTTGGCTTTTTTCACACATTTACAAACAACACCTACAGACTGGACATGTCATTCATTAAATAAGCTTCCCCATCACTGTTCTCCTCAGACTAAAATTTTGCCCCTAGATGTTAAATTAACCATAGCAAATAATGTATCTAGCCACACTGCAAGACAGAGGGCTTCAGGATTTTCCCATTTCCCCATAAAAGAAGTGTTTTATATATCTGCATAGGCAATAGCTGAGATAAAAGGGAGGTCCAGCCATCCTGTCCTGCCCTGAGGAGCTCCTGGTCACATCCACACTGCACGTGCATTGATGGGTAAAAAAGGAAAACAGGAGGACTCCTGTCCTCCTGTACACCAGCAAGGGAACATGCCTTTGAGCAGTACGTTATTGAGATCTCTGGTCACTCCAAACTCACTCACTTTTGATTTTAGAACTTGACTGAGGCTAAAAAAAATCTTCTGGAACTTTTCTGGAATTCTGGAACTGGAATTCATTTGCTGTGGAAACCAACAAGAGGCATGGAAATTAGGGTCTTAAACAATATAAAATTAATTTTTAATTTTACATGAGTTTCCTTTTTTTTTTTTTTTTTTTTTGTCATTTTAGGTCCCTTCAAACCATGTGACCATCTTTTTGGGAGCTGGCTGATCAGAATTGGAGTGTGGACCATAGTGGCTTTGGCCTTTATTTGCAATGCACTGGTGACTGCTACAATCTTCAGATCTCTGCTGTATATTTCCTCCATAAGACTCCTAATCGGTCTAATATCCATTGTAAATGCCTTGATGGGTTTGGCCAGTGGAGTGTTGGCCAGTGTGGATGCATCGACTTTTGGTAGCTTTGCTCAATATGGAGCATGGTGGGAAAGTGGAATTGGGTGCCAAATAACTGGCCTCCTGTCCATTTTTGCTTCAGAGGTTTCTATTTTCCTCCTTACCCTGGCCACGCTCGAACGTGCGTTCTCTGTGAAGCACGCTGCAAAGTTTGAAGCAAAATCCTCCTCTGCCAGTGTGAAAATAGCCATTTTGTTTTGCTTTGTGTTGGCACTAGTCATTGCAGCGATCCCTCTCCTCAGTGGAAGTGAGTATGGGGTTTCTCCACTTTGTTTGCCATTGCCCTTCGGAGAACCCACTGCCATGGGCTACATGGTGGCGCTGGTTCTGCTGAACTCTCTTTGCTTTCTGGTCATGACTGTTGCTTATACCAAGCTCTACTGCAGCCTAGAAAAGGGAGAACTAGACAGTGTTTGGGATTGCTCTATGGTCAAACACATAGCCTTGCTGCTTTTTACTAACTGTATTCTTTATTGCCCCGTAGCCTTTTTATCTTTCTCCTCCTTACTAAACCTCACTTTTATCAGCCCAGAAGTGATTAAATCAATACTGCTGGTGATTGTACCACTGCCCTCATGCCTAAACCCACTCCTTTATATACTTTTCAATCCACACTTTAAGGAGGACCTTGGAAGTCTTCGGAAGCAAACTTTGTTATGGAGGAGATCCAAACACACTAGTCTGATCTCTGTGAATTCAGAAGACCTAGAAAAACAATCCTGTGACTCAACACAAGCCCTGGTAACCTTCACAAGTGCTAGCATATCCTATGACATGCCTACCAGCGATTCACTAATGCCATCATCTTACCAAATGGCAGAAAACTGTAATCTCTCATCAGTAGCATTTGTTCCATGTCGCTAGTTTCAGTGGCAGTGCAGAAATGATCTATGTTTACAAAAATTTTAATCCCAAAAGTAAATATGGGTATGTGTATACAGGCTAGAGAATGGCTCTGAACTATTAATACACGAATCAGAAAAATGGGCCATCGCAAAACCCTGCAGCAGGCTGAAAATCCAATCCGTGAGAGCTTTCTCAGCCTTTTTTTAATGAAATGCTGCCATGAAAAAAGAAACTGAGAGTTGTCACAGTTTGTGCAGTTGTATCAACTGTTCTCATTTAAAGTGGCAAAACTCAGAAAAGGCTCCTGTTGCTCAAGAGCAGAAATACCATGCTAAAGTGGTAAGCTTTTTTTTCAAAGCATTACCTAGTAGCATTTGTGTTTTGGTTTGTTTGTTTGTTTTTCTGATATTATCATTCAATCTTAATACTTTATCAGTTGTACCATTGTTTTTGTAAGTGTCTGTGTAGGGCCCTGATTCAGCAAGGTATTTAAGTGGAAGAGTAATCCTATTAAAGTCCTAAAGATTTCTGGAAAATAGACAGTTACGAAGGTCCATGTTTTAGTGATAATGCTCTTAACTTAAAAATGTAATTGCTTTTGGGATTGTTTTATAAAAGTTTTCTGACAGAGCATTTTTAACTGCCAGCTAGAACAATACAAAATTAACATGGGAGAAAAGAGGTTAATAAAAATCTTGCTAAGTGACTAAGATGTAGTTGTAAATGGCAAGCCGCTGTCACAAGGACATTTTTCTAGTGAGGACCTGCTCAGTTTGGTCATGACTTGGAATTATTTCCAGAATTACTGCTGATAAAACTGGCAGGTGATTCTTAGAATTCAAGAGTGAAAAACGCTACTTGGAGAGTCACCAGTAGAGAAAGAGGAATGTGCTGAATGCAAATAAATGACCCCAAAAGTACTCACTCAGAAACACCAAGTCATTTGTCTAGAACAAAAACTGTAATCCTACTTGGTGTGATCTCTAACCTATGAAGCATCCTGAAAAGCCCCTGGTTAATGGTTGCCAGCCAGTTGAAGAGCTATCCAAAATGATACAACAATTTCTAATTATAGACTATGAAATATCAAGTAGGAGTTAAGAGGCTGTGTGATCTGTGTCCTTACAACTGATGCAGATATTACTAGATTATTTCATACAGTGCTCGCATCCGCCTGCAGTGAAGACTAATGGAAAATTGAAGAGGACTGAAATATCATAGATTTTAATAGCAGGTTATCAAAGATGTGATTTGAGTTGAAGGGCAGAGGTCTATCTAGTTACAAGGAGAAGAATCTGGTAAGATCTACTGAAAGTCATCATTAAGGACATACAGCATGGAAATATAGGTGAAAATTGTTGACAATGACAGAAGTTAGTGATAAAATTACAAAGGCTTAGAGTGAACTGTCTGTTACCAAAAATACGTAAATTCCAACTAGATACGTTCTCAAAAAGAGGTATTGTAGGAGCTGCCAGAAATCAGGGAAATTTCATGGCATTAGATTAGGAGATTAGATTAGATTAACAGAGAGTTCTGTCTATTTTTAAATTTGTTAATACATTTTTGAATCAAGGCATAGATTTGCATAATCAGAAGCATACCTATTATAGCCTGTTGTCAAAATATTTCAGACAACAGAGGCACCTTCACTTTTCTAGATAAGTCTTTGATCTTGACCAAGCCACCCAGGGAAATTCCAGTTTTCTTGAAGTTGGCACATTTTCAGAGCATTAAAGACACAGAAGTGCACTGATTTATAGATTTTTTCTTGTTGTTAAAAATATTTTTCTGAGCAGTAACATTTTATTTCCCAGTACTTATTTCTTAGTTAATGACCACTCTATCTCTAGATGTCCAAGCAATTTTTCAACATTACCATCGTTAGGCTAGCCCAGTAATTAAGATGATCTCTGTTATTCATCTGTTTTTATATATGTGACTTCCTGGCAGTCATAGGGTGGATTTTCACAGTGAAGAGTCTGTTGCCAGCAGTGGATATGCCTTGATTTTCTTCTCCACTCACACTGGCATATTTTTAGTTTTGTATTTACAGATGGCATCAGTTGACTTTGGCTGACACGTTCATACTTCAGGAAGAAAAATGAGCAAATGCAGACATTATGTATGATAAGGTCGTATGTGTAGTTATCTCAATCCTTTATCTCTTGTGGCTTTTGAAGCAGTGCAGCACTCAGCTGGAGAATGATGCCTAAAACCACTTCGGATTAAGCAGAGGATCAGTCAACCATTGCACAATACCTATGACCATGTTTACTAAGCTTTATTTTAACTGGGATCCATCTGTGCTGCACTGCTTAATGTCAGTGAAATTCCCTTCAGCTCGCTATATTTAAGAAGTTTGTAAAGTGATTTGAGAAGCAAAATAATGTTATATTTCTACAGACTAGTTTAAGAAAGCTTCTTTTATCGGAACTTTTTTAGCTTGCAGAAAGTCCTAAAGGATTTATGTCTTATTTTTATAACCATGTTTGAAATATTTTGATCAGATATTTTAAACTTGAAATTGTTAAAATCCATTTAATAGATTTTTAAAGTAAAATGTGTAAATATAGAACTGTATTTATTATTAAAGTGAAATGCAGCCACAGTAAAGGACATGAGATTAAGCCCTGTACAGTTTCATATTGATATGTGCTATATTTTCTGCTCATATATATTACTAAAGTCATTATCTGTAAATAATATTTGTAAATGTGTAGCGACTGTAAATAGATAACCTACTTCTTTTCTATCCATGTTCCAAACATAAGCAATTTGTAATAAAATGTGACTACACAGTAGAAAGCATTAAATCGGGGCCCAACACCTCACAAGTGTCTGGATCTCCATCAGTCCTAACTTATTCTAATACTTGCACTAACTTCCCCAGATGTCCCAAATCCTCAACAAAGTTAAAGTTATGGGTTGTGTGCTCTCATTAGCTCTCCTGGGGAGCAAGGACATGAAGAACAGTGCTTCGTTTCAACACAGAGCAGATCTTTGTATCAAGACATTGCTCACCAACCCTTATCAACAGACTCTGCTTCCCACACACACACTATTGATATTTCAGCAGCAGCCTCTGGGGGCTGCTCAGTTGGTGAGTGAGACCCTCTCCCGTCAGCCTGTGTGACAAGGACATGCATCCGGTCACACAGTCACTGCTCATAAGTTGCCTGGCAGGCCTTAGATGCTACCGGACCACGTGGAAGATGAGGGTCTGCTGCGCTAGGCTGCTCCTGCAGCCATCTGAGAGCCAGCCAATTCGCCCAGATGCTTCTCGTTTCCTCTGCAGTGCCCTACGTGGCAGACAGAGCTGGTCAGAGGATTAGCAGCCCGCTGGCAAAGCTCCCCTGCCGTGCAGCAGCGTTGCACAGCAAATGCTTGGGACACACACGCTGTGCGTGAGGGAAAGGTGGTGCCCGCAGTGTGGGACTCGGCAGGAGCCAAGCAGCCCGGGCAGTTCTTCACTGCCTGGCTTTATTGGGCTAAGCTGTAACTTCTAGTGCAATCAAGTCATCGTCTAGGCACCGAGGAAAGGCTAGACGGCAGGCGCATTCTTTCGAGGAGGGACTGTGGGACAGAACAGTTTTATCTGCTTTGTTTTCAGAGATCAATATTTTAACATCATTTCTGTGAAATATCTGAAAAAAAAAGGCAATCAATACAAACTCTGGAAAAGCAATTAATCATTTTGGCAGGAACTCAATCCACATAGAAAGTAACAAACTACAAAGCTCAAAAATAATTAAAACAATCCCATATATAATTGATTTTAGCAGGGGTGTGCAGATACTAAGCAAAAATGAGAAGGGAAAGCAAAGCTAGAGTTGATCCAGACAGTTCAACCAGGTAGGCCAGTGAAAAAGCAGCAGTTTGAGGATCAAGTCTCAGAACAGAGATGTTAGGTGAGACAGGATCAGCAATGAATGGGGATGAGAAAGTCTTTATAGAAGAAAAAGAAGAGGTGTAGTACAGGGAACATAAGGCATGAGCATAAGAAGGAGCCAAAGAAGAGTGAGGCCTTCAGGAGGCAGAAGACATAAGGAGTAGTTTTATGAGATCTGAAATAATGTGATCATAGTTTTGTGACAGCTCAGATTTGATACAAAAAGACAAAAGTAGCATGATGTTTAACAAGATCAAAATGGTAAGAAAACAGGCGAGGAAGAGGCTTTCACCTACACCTGCTTCGCCTAGACTGTGTAAGAGCTAGGAGAAAAAGGAAGCTGTGGGATTTGTGGAAGGATCTACAGAAAATAAAGAGCACCTAGAAAGGAAGGACACCCTGGCTAATGACTGCTTGAATTAGAGGGAAAAGACAGACATCGCAGTTACATCACAGCCTGAACAGCATTTTCGAACATTGTTGTTGCAGCAATCCTAATTTTGTTGCTTTTTGCTAGCCTTCCCATACTTACATTCCGCTCTAGGCTTGTTTGCCATGGTTTAGACACATTCTCCTCAATGTCTTTTACATACTTCTCTGGAACAATGATACTGGACCCTTTTTTGTTTGTTTTATGACTTATGTCTATGCTGAAGGAGAGAAGGCCTAAGACACTTGTTCATGTTACAGACTTCAGACTGACTTCATATCCTTTAATTCATTCCCTGACTGCCCAAGACTCTGGAGTTCATTTTCCTAGTTAAAAGAGGCAAAAAGGCCTAGGAGGATTTCGCAGAGACTGTGGTGCTTGCTACAGGAGATTAAACCACTGTTTCTCATAAAAAATCTCCCTGCTTTTTATTTGTTTGCTTTCTTAGAAGGCCAGGAGAGCTCCTTCCTCGATCAAAAGGTCCGTTCATAACCTGGAAATGCTGATAAGTGCAGGGAAATCTACAGATAACTTTTAGAAGCTCTTGTTGTGCATGGAAGCAAATTAATAATTGCAGACACCTGTCAAAACAACGATTACATATCAAGAATGACTCCAGATAAAAAAGGAGATGTCTGAAATTTCCTTCAAGTGTTATTTTGGAGCCTGAGACATTCAAAGCCACTTGGGAGGAGATTCTTGGTACATGTATGCATAATACTTGGTGGAAGCTTTTGATTTCACAGATCAACAGGTTTTTTCCCCTTATTAATGAAGGCATATTTTTTGACAAGTGGAAAGTGTTGCCACCTGTG